TAGCCAGAAGCTGGGATGGATCACTTGATGATTATCTGTTCTGTTCATTCCCTCTGGGGCACCTGGCATTGGCCACTGTCAGAAGACAGGTTACTGGGCTACATGGACCTTTGGTCTGACCCAGGATGGCTGTTCTTATATTTAGCCAAAACAATGCTTTGGCTGAACATGCATTATTACATTTAAAAAAAAAAAAAGTTGAAGTCAGACTGAGAACCATCTTAAGAACTGCACAGCATGCTACAATACAGGAATCTGAGTATATAAGACCTGAGCTTAGTTCTTTACACCTGTGCCAGCAAGGACTAGATGCTGTATAGGGGCAGTGTAGTCAGCCCTTTGACAGGATGTATACACTGGACTTTTATTCTTAAGACTTTCCACCACTGTTGCCATCAGCTCAATTCCACCCAGGGGATGTGCAGGACTGTCCACTGGCATTTTAACCTCTGTGCCATCCAACTCTGCTCAGAGTAGGGCTAGAGGGTACAATGGTTAAAGCTCCAGTAGCCATCATGCCTTGTCTACTTTAGTGCTCCCACCAGCAATATAATGGGTGGGAAATTTTAAGACAAGAAGTCTGGTGTAAACAATGGCAGAGAGAGAGAGATGACAGACAGACAGACTTCCATCACTTTCTAGCAATCACTTCAGCTAACTGAGGCCTGGCTCTGATGGGAACTATGCCTGGCTTTCCTTGGCTGGAATAAAACTCAGATTTGTATGAAGGAGAAAAAAATAAAGAAAAATAAAGAGTTAAACAGCTTGGGAGGAAAAAGATGATTAGGTTGCAAAGTTTTTGTTACTTACCTGTGAGATCTCTGCTAGGTACATGCGCCGTTCATCATTAGCCTTATGGTAAGCCTACATTTTAAAATAATGGGTAAATGGTTACAATCAAACAAAACAATTTAGCATGGTTAATCAAAAGGGAAGTAACAAACACACGTACCACCCCAGGACTTTTTCATTTTATGTTTCATGGAATCATTACATTCTCTACACCAATGCTTTAGACATTTCAGACAGCATAACAGCTTCTAGAAAGGGCTGATTAGACAGATATGGCAGTAACAGACCTTTGCTTCTTGTTCCAGTCTAAGCTCATAATCCTTCAGTTGGTTCTGGAGACTTTTCTTTTCCTCTTCTAGTTGTTTAAGAAGCTGGTTTAAGGAACCCTGCAGTTGTATACAAAATAAAATCAACAGGTTACAAATATTCCTGTTCTGAACAATGATAGAAGTTGTTATCACAATCTAGATTCTGAGTTACAATCTTCAAGGTCTGTGTGCTTATGCTTAGGGCTACGGTTTTGTCACGGAGGTGGCGGAAATCATGGAATCTGCGACTTCCAAAGACCTCCGTGACTTCAGCCCTGGCGGCTGGGAACTGCAAGGTCCCATTGCCTCCTGCAGCGGCAGGAAGCTATAAGATACCCCCGCTGCTGGAGGCAGTGGGCACCCAAGCTCTCAGCCACCATGGGCAGCAGAGGTACCCTGCAGCTCCCCGCTGCTGTGGGGGACATGGGAAACCACAGAGCTCCCCACCACCCGCGGTGGCAGGGGAAGCCTGGCCGGTCCCTGGCCGCCGCAGGCAGGGGGTGGTGCAGAGGGACCCCCGCAGTCCCCAGCCACCATGGGGACTAGGGAGACCCCCACAGCTCCCCACTGCAGTGGTGGCAGGGGGATTCCCACAGCGTTCCCTGCTGCTGGGGAGGGGGCAGAGGGACCCTGCAGCTCCCCTCCGCTGCTGGTGGCAGGGGAACCCTGGAGCTCTAAGCCCCCACAGGTGGTGGGGGGCCCAGAGATCCCAGCATAAGACCGAGCTACAAGGGAGTTTGGTTGACCCATTACCAGAAAGCTGGCTCCCAGTATGTGACAGTAGAGAGTTCATGGATGGAGCCTCTGTAGGAAGCAGTGTTATAGACAACGTATGGAAATAATTCCCTCATAATTTGGTCTGTCCTATCCTTGAGTTATGGTGTCACAGCAGGCAAACAGTTTAGATTGACAAGGACTCTCTTTTGGGTACAGTAATGTTGTTAATAAAGCTGCATCCCTTCTTTTCCACAAAAACATTCCTGGATGCTATTAAGTTTTCCCTGTGAATGATTTTCATTAGAGTCAAGAATTTATAATGGGTTTGGCTGAAGGTGAAGTGCTGTTAAAAGCTGCCACCACGCTGAAATAACCCCTCCTGCTGATTTTAATAAACAGAAATTGACAGCAGAGCCATGGCTTTCAAGAATGCTTCACCCATGGCTGAGCTGCTATTAACTTTAGTTTTCTATTATGACAGATACATTGGAGAAGACATGAAAAGCCATTGTTTTTAAATTAAAATTGGAAGTCAAAACACCCTAGCTGCAGCTGAAACTCTGTTGCATATTACAAACCTCTCCCTATTATAGGATCTACGAGCCTACAGAGTGTTTACATTCAGCCCATTTGAAGAGAGAAAAATGGACAGAATGAGGAGGTAATTTGGCTAAATCCAACTAGTGCCATATTCTACTTCATTATTACATCTGTGTCCCCACAGAATCAAAGAAGGAAGAGAAATGTCTATCAGGGATGGTCTAGACAGTATTTGGTCCTGCCATCCGGGCAGGGGACTGGACTCGATGACCTCTCGAGGTCCCTTCCAGTCCTAGAATCTATGAATCTATGAAAGAAAAAGCTTTAACTCTGTCAACTCTAGGAGACTGAATTTTGGTTGAAAGAAAGTTTTACTAGCCATCTCTACCTGACAGCATTTTGGAGAGTGTAACCACCTGACATACAGTAACTCCTCACTTAACGTTGTAGTTATGTTCCTGAAAAATGCGACTTTAAGCGAAACGATGCTAAGCGAATCCAATTTCCCATAAGATTTAATGTAAATGAGGGGGTTAGGTTCCAGGGAAATTTTTTTCACCAGACGAAAGACTAATATATATATATATATATATATATACACACACACACACACACACATACATACACACACACATATATACATACATACACCCACACTGTATATATATATATATATATATATATATATACATACATACATACATACACACACACATTTACACACACACAGTATAAGTTTTAAACAAGCAATTTAATACTGGTACATAGTGATGATGATTGTGAAGCTTGGTTGATGTGGAGGAGACAGAGGGTGGGATATTTCGCAGGGAATGCCTTACTGCTAAATGATGAACTAACATTTGGCTGAGCCCTCAAGGGTTAACTCGTTGTTAATGTAGCCTCACTCTACAAGGCAGCAGACAGAGACAGAGAGACACACCGTGTGCGTGAGAGAGAGAGATGCACATTTCCCCTTTAAGTAGCTCACCCCATTCTTAAGTACACTGCCTTGTTAATTAGATCAGCTTGCTGAGACCGCAGCTGCTGCCTGGAAGCTCCCTCCATCCTGAACCCTGTCGTGTGTCCCCCCCCTGCTCTATGGAAATGGGGTAAGTGGGGTGCAGAAGCAGGGGGGAGGGGACACCCTGACATTAGCCCCCCACTTCCTCCCTCCCCCTGTACAGCAAGCAGGAGTCTCTGGGAGCAGCTCCAAGGCAGAGGGCAGGAGCAGCACATGGCAGTGGGGGGAGGGACAGCTGAATGCCGGCAATTGCTAGCCTGCTGGGCAGCTGTAGCACAGGGAACTTAGGGGAGCAGGGAACTGATAGGGGGGCTGCCAGTCCACCCTGATTCCAAGCCCCCACCAGGTAGTTCCAATGGGCTACTCTTCCTGCAAGCAGTGGACAAAGCAGGTGGCTACCAAACGACGTTAGAAGGGAGCAATGCACAACTTTAAACGAGCATGTTCCCTAATTGATCAGCAACGTAACAACAAAACAACATTAACTGGGACGACTTTAAGTGAGGAGTTACTGTACTTGTAACACACTTTGTTTGTGTCCCACACAAAACTCCTTCCAACAGTAGATGGGAGTTCATGCTACTGTTTTAATTGTTCGATGCAAGTCCAAGCATCACCACATGCCCCTGCACTGGATCATTCTATAGTGCTGGTGTTGCAGCTATAGCTGCAGCAGAGCAACTTTTTAGTGGCTCTTCTGGTCAAATTTCTAAACTCTGTGGCCACTTGACCCTATGGATCAAGTCTTCTAGAAGTCCCTCACTGAACACAATGACATGTACACACCTCTAGTCCCATAGCAGGCACTTTTTAAGCCAAAATCTTCAAGATCACTGTGTTCCAGTACTCAGTTTGCTTTTGGATCTGGGATAATTTCTTCTCAGAAGTTATCCTACAGTTGTGCTAGCAGCTGACCCAAGGTAGATGCCAGGACACTCACTGAACAATGGTTAGATCCAATCCCAGGTAACCCAGACTATTTAGCACACCATTGCTTTTGACAGGTGAATGCATATCTGGCCCAGCAGTGCAAAGAGAAAACTAAAGGTTTGAAGGTGCATCAAAACAAGGCTGGTAGCTGCACCTTCACATGTGTTTGAACAGATGCTAGTTCCTGGGTGTTTATGGAGACTGAAACGATCCTTGACAACAGTAAAGCCCAAAGAGGAAGGAGAGGGCACCTATGTCACAGGCAGTATTAGAGGCATTTGCTGGACTGTTGGGAGATGGGGGAACCATCTACACAAGCTATGTATTATGCTATGTATTATTTGTACTTTTCTGCATGGCCGAGGGCTACGCCTACATGAACACTGCCATTGCTATTAAGGAACAGGCAGACAAGCACAAGTGAGGGCAGAAGTCCCTCTCTTACTTCAACTCAGTCACTTGAACAGACACTGCAGGACCCTTCCTCACATCCCCTGATGTGATAGACAAAAAACAACAACAAATCAAATGGCCTGCTCTCTGCCAAGCCCCCACCAGCAGTAATCTGATTCCTCAAGCTCAGTACAGGGGCCCACCCAGAGTCAGTTACCATCATGGGAAGTGGATTCTGCTGGAGCATCTCCCCAGAAGCAGCAAAATAAAGTCTGTTCTGGCTCTCTGGTGCTCTACTGAAATACGAACTATCACCACCTTCAAACTTCTGCAGACAGCTAGCTCTGCATTTTCAGCTCTTCAAGAACAAATCTGGCTCTCTGAACAAACAGAAAATGCCCTGAACCTCCAGTGCACTCTCTGTTTTGGGATAAAATGCCAAGACAGACTGCAGTTGTCAGTGAGTTATAGGATTTGACCCCATCTCCCATAATTCCTTTAGACAATCCGAACGCCTTGCACAATTTCCCACAAAGTATCACTTCCAGGGCCTGAGGAATAGGTAGCTCGTAGACAGCAGTGCATCTAGTGCAGGGGAGAACTGCACCCAAACCAGAAGGGTTAGTGTTGATGCACTGCTCTGTTAAGTTGCAACGCTTCAGTTCCCGAGTGTAAACAAGGCAGAGTTAAGGTTTCACAAGCAAATTTTATTTTAGCATTTCCTTACTTTTGGGCAGTCCACTCTGCATTCGTGTAACATGCTTTCTGAAGGGATTTGACTCATCTGCATGGTCTTAAATCATTTTCAACACCAGCTCAAAGTAATTTGCTGAAAATAATTTTCCAAAATGGTTCAGTTTCCTAGTATAACTCTAGCTCATACCTCTGGTAGTACCCTAATTCCTATGTTTTCTACCAGAAAAAAGGTCTAGAAAAAAATTCTATAATATATCTAAAGTATTTATATGGCCCTCATCACTGTAGTATCTGAGCATCTCACAATCTAATGTATTTATCTTCACAATTCTTCAGTGAGGTAGAGAAGTACTATTAGCCCCATTTTGCAGATGGAGAAATGAACCAGAGAGGCTAAATGACTTGCCCAAGGTCACACATGGAGCCTGTGGAGGAGCAGAGACTTGAACCCAAGTCCTAAGCTAACGCTCTAACAATGGGATCATCCTTCTTCCATAATAAGGAACTATTTGCTAAACAAAACACTTATGTACTGCACACAATGAACACTGAATGAGGCAAGCTCTGCTGCAGAGCTCTTCCTTCTTGAGCACATACTTTGGGTTTTAGATGAGGCAGGGAACCAATATAGACTACACATGTTTACTTATGTGAAAAACCTCTCTAGATATTCAAACACTGGAGGAAGAGATGAAACAATGTTTCAGAAAATGGACTGAAGAAAATTTAAACCAGTAAAACTTCAAAGATATTCTAAGCGCTAACTCTGCTAGGGCAGATC